GTTTTGTACAGCAAACACAGTGGTCATTTTTTTAAAGCTGAGGTAGAGCCAATCAGAGCATCAGCCAAGATGAACATAAGCCATGGGTAATGCTGAGGGAACGTGGAGTGGTGGAGACGCTGGAGTGCGCTGCTCAGGCATAGCAGGATAGGGGAAGTCCTGCAGTCACACAGTCGCTGTCTTGTGCCCTGCTTTTTTGGCATGGAATGGAATGCATAGGGTGCAGGGCACAGACATTGGGCCTCAATCACCAATGTCTTCTTAAGTTTTTTCTTAAATTTATAAGAAATAAGAAAAAGTCTACGTCAAATTCATGACGTGTTCTTAAACAGAATTCTTCACACCTTTGTGCTCTTGACTGTGTGTAGATTCTGTTCTTACCTAAGAACAAATCCCAAATAAGAACACATTTGTGAAAGTCGGAATCTTTGTGAAAACTGCATAAGTTGGTTTTAAGGACAAATTTCTTTTTAAGAACAATTGGTGAATGAGGCCCAAAGTTTATGACTCTGCTGATGTTTGAAGTATGTTAGTTCCTATGTGGCATCCGACAACAGCAGATATCAAGCCTGAGCTCAGTTTTGAATAATGTAGTCCGTCATTAGTGAGCACCATTGGAATCGTAGCGTGACCAGAAATGGAAAACCGGCAAGTGGAAATAGTGAGGCACCATGACAGCTCCCACTGGGTTTTCAGGAAAATCATCTATAAAGGAACTTGCACATGTGCCAGTATACAACAAGCAGATCCTCCATTGCTGTGCGTACATCCATAATATCGCCTCTTTTTCTCTTTCCTATTTGAATCACTTGGTTACATCACTGACCATCTCAAACTGCAGGACTCTGAACTTGTGAGCTGTAAAAAATCAAACATGTCTGGGCCTCCGATCACTCAGGAGCCAGATCAGAGGGCTAAAGATTGACTCGTTTCCCCTCTCACACTACCTGTGCCATCAGTCGCTTCCCCTCAAGCCTCTAACCTGGAGAATTTTGAAATGTTGATTGTGAAATGTGGGAAAATTTGTCGAAAGAGGCAAACTGGGGCTAAAATTGGGCTAATAATTGTGTAGTGTATGCCTGGCTGTAAAGACACAAGCCAGCAAAGAGCAGAAGGGAACATCTGTCTGAGAACACACACACACTCACATGCACACACACACACACACACACTTGGCTCTCTGTGAGAGAGTGTATCACGCTGTCTCTGAACTGATCTCCCGCAGTTACACCATGTCAATTAAACACACAAATTCATTTAGCTCTCTCTTTCACTCTCTCTCTCTCTCTCTCTCTCTCTCTCTGTCACCAGTCCTATGCTGCATTAATTAAACAGGCATGCATCGCTCTAATTGGTGCATATATTAATGCCAGACTGTGTGTGTGTGTGTGTCTATTACTGTATTTGTGCCTTTGTGTAAATGAGTGTAAACCAATAGCAGACTGTAAAACACACACCATGGTCACTTTCCTCTAGGATTCACATGATGTTGATATCGTTAATATTGTATTTTCCATCATATGACACATTAAACAGAAGCAAGAGGGCAAAATCCATGCAAGAATTAATATCCTTCTCCAAAACACAGTCATTTCTCCTGCCATTTGTCAGCCAATTAAGTGTGCTAGTAGCTTGTTCTGCTCACATTCTGATAAGAAAAAGTGAAGGCTAGTGGAGAGAATGCAGGATAAAACTAGCTAAAACCAAGTGCTAAATAGGGTTGGGCCACATTCACTTTTTGTATACCTTTAAATAGTTCTAACAGACACAGTGTTTAAAAAACTGCAGCAGCACTGCTGTGTCTGATCCACTCTAGCGTAACACACACTAACACACCACCACCACATCAGTGTCACTGCAAGGCTGAGAATGACCCACCACCCAAATGATACCGGCTCTGTGGTGGTCCTGTGGGGGTCCTGACCCTTGAAGGACCAGATGAAAGGGGGCTGACAAAGTATGCAGAGACATAAATGGACCTACAGTCTGTAATTGTAGAACTAGTATATGCACATATATGGTAAATGGAGCTGAGAAAACAATGAATACAGTCTCCATTGACAAACACTGGCTGTACAATGGGTCATACTGAAGAGCTCAGTGACATTAACTGTGGCACTGTCATAGGATGCCTCTTTTGCCACAAATCAGTTTGTGAAATGTCTGCCCTGCTAGATCTGCCCCAGTCAACTGTAAATGCTATTGTTGTTAAATGGAAACATCTAGGAAGAACCACATCTCAGCCACAAACTCACAGAGTAGAGCCTTTGATGCGTAAAAAGTGCCTATCCTCTGTTGCATAACTCAGCAGCACAAGAACTAGGCGCTGGTAGCTTCATGAAATGGGTTTTCATGGCTGCACAGCTGCACACAAGCCTAAGAGTACTATGTGCAATGCCAAGCGTCAGCTGGCGTGGTCAGCTGGACTCTGGAACAATGGAAACTCGGCCCTTTAGTTCTATTGTTAGTGTTAAAGCACACAGAAACATTTTAGACAATTATATGCTTCCAAATTGGTGACAGCAGTTTGGGGAAGACACTTTCATGTCCCAGCATGACTGTGCCCCTGTGCACAAAGCGAAGTCCATGAGTTTGCACACGTCAAAGCGATGAGTTTGATGTGGAGGAACTTCAATGGCCTGCATGGAACCCTGACCTCAAACCCACCAAACACCTTTAGGATTAACTGGAACGTTAATTGCTAGCCAGGCCTTCTTGACCAACATCAGTGTCTGACCTCACAAATGCTATTTTGACTGATTGTGCACAGATTTCCACAGATACACTCCAAAATCTTATGGAAAGCCCTTCTAGAAGAGTTGTAGCTGGAAATGGTGGGGAGCAACTCCAAATTAATGCCCATAACTTTGGAAAGGGATCTCCAATAATCATTACAGTATAGAGTCATTTTTACAGTGTTTCATCTTTTTCTTTGGCAGTAATATTGACTGTCTTTATACTGCATTAAAAGACACATCCTGCTGATGCGTGCATGCATTTCACTATGCATGTGTGTATGTGTGTGTGGCATCTGGAGCTGCCTGGTGTACAGCAGGGGTCTGGACATAGATGGCTTTTTAATGTACATGTGCACACACTCACACACACACACACACACATACATACACAGCGCCTCTGCTGGATTGAGATGTTTATCTAAGACGTGCCAGCGGTGTCCAATCCCCCAACCCTGATGCATCTGTCAGTGTTCCACCACTTCCATCTGTGCTGTGTGTGCATTCGTAGGAGTGTTTGCATGAGTATGTGTGTGTGTTTGCTGGTGTGTGCCAGCTTTTATGCATTAGAATGAAGAAAGTAGATTAAAATGGTAAGTGAATGAATTTCCCTATTAATTACTTCCAGCGGACAGTGTTTTGTCATTACTATCACTGTACCTACGGTGCGGGGTCATGCTCCAAATTCATGCATAAGACTTACAGTACTATGCAAAGGCCAGAGACCAATTTCCACTCAAAACAGCCATCAAGTACAACTTATCATCCTATTCCCACTTTAACTCTTTCACCCTTACAGTCTTAAAACCAACCAGTTCCACCTGTGTCCCCCCAACAAAAGCTGCTCTCAAAGATCTCATTCATATTATGTTCCCCTTCAAACAGACACTAACATTCACACAAACAACTACCTTAGCTCCTCAAAAATGGCAAAAAAGAAGATTTGTCTGAGATTAGATATAAGATAACTTGCACAACAAAGAGGACAGTCGGTGGAAAATAAGGGAAAGTTAAAGATATGGAACTCCTAACAACTGTGAAAGACCTAGTAGACCACCAAACCTGCCCCCACCAGCACTTAAAGCTTTCATCTTTGAGAGAGAGGAGAAAATCAAGCTCCACTCTTACTTCAGATCTGAAAACATCCACAGGTGTTTCTGTCCATCCTTCCACTGTGAGACACTCAGCACTATGAGTGTGAAAGGATGTGTAGCTGACAAGAAGCTGTTACTTAGAAAAGAAATAAACAAAAATGTGCACTAGAGCACCAAAACTGGACGTCTGAGATGCGGCGTAGGGTTTCATAGACTGATGAGTTTAAATTTGTAATTTGGATTACTCGGATCATAAGAAGCAGGAAATTGAACCAACTTCTAAGACTGAACTTTGGAGGTGAAGAAAAAAAAAACATGCATATTTCTTTTAAAAACTGAACGTGAGTCTCCTGAAAAATTTGGAAACTGTAATAAATACAAAGAGTGGACATGGTAAATACTGAAAAAACATGATGTCATATTCAGCTCTGCGTAAGTTGCTGCTAAAATATCTGTTCTCTACTTTTTTCTGGATGCTGATAAATAAATCTTTTTAATGACTGCTTTCATTGGAAATAAATAAACAAACCTTTGCACAGTACGTTGTCAATGTATTCCAAACTATAAATATAACACATTGATAGAGTTGGCAAGTAATTGTGTTGTTGAATTGAATACTGCTATAATTTGCTGTTATCATTTCATTATCATATCATTTTAACTGATATTTGATATTGAAGTTATTGAAGTTCTGAAGCTATTGCAGTAATAAAGACAAAGCGTGGGCACACTAAATACTGATAAAATTGACATTGAATTTGTTGAGGCCTCTGTGTAATTTTCTGTCACATGTAGCGTCGCTGATGGAATAAAACCTTATATCTCCATTTTTTCATTTTTTGAACCTGCCCTTTACATAGTGTGAACTTTTTATGATAACTGGACCAACACAAATGGCTTAAAATAGGAGTAAAATATCTTTACATTAACTTCCACTGAAAGTGAGGAAGTTTTTTTCCTCTCCTGTAAAGTCAGAAGGTTTTGTCTGACAGTAGCAATGTGTTTCTGCTTTTCTTCTTTGTTCTCGTGCTTGAAACGAAAAGGATGGTCTCTGACTTTTGCACAGTACGTAGGTCACTAACCTCAGTGCTGTGCTTCAGACTGTTTTTCACGATCTGAGCAAAGTGAAGCATACAGACACATTCAAACACACAAACACAGGCTTGCTTACTTTCATCTCTCTTCCTCTTGCTTGCGTCGGCCGCCGAGCTAATCCCCAGAATTCCACTGATGGAGTAGGAGGAGCCTGCAGCATCACTGGTTACCGCGGAGACCTGGGTCACGGCTACTGTGGACACTGACGGGTGACAGAGGTATAAAAGACCCTGATAGCGACCACACATACCTTCCAACTTCTGACACAACACTTTTATGTCAGTATGCACAATTATATGGAATTCTACAGAAAGCTTTATTAAAAGGTCCAAATCTTGCATTGTATTTGATGTGTTTTTGCATCACCATTTGCCAACATCTCTTTATCCTTTAGAATTTACCATGCTGTTTTTGATTCTGTGCCTTTAAGACTGATTAATGCAAATGAGCTCTGTTCTGATTGGCTGTTAAGCATCATGCGTCTCAGAAAGAAGTCTGGGCTCACACTCCCTATAACTTCAACACAAATGGGCGGAGCCAAACTGCTGTAGGGTAAGCAGGTGGATATATGTATACGTGTTGGTTTTCATGACATCACAAAAATGATTTAAAGCTGGCTGTTTTTGCGCCTTTAAGGGGAATTCCACTGTTTTTTTTAAATGTATGCATAATTCAACTGTTATGATTTAAATAAAGCCATTCTGAGTGGTTTGGTGTGGACTGCTCTGATCTAGAGAAACTTAAGATTGTTAAAATTTCACAATGGTGGTGATGGGAACCAGACATCCTAATGCCTCTAAAAGCTACATTACAGACGGTTTTTACAAGAGATGGTAATGAATATACTGGCTGATGCCTGAGACAATGTTTTTGAGAGAGGATTTTGGCCTAAAATGTATTTTAAAGTATATTTATGGTCAAGGGGTACATGCAGGGTGCTGTAAGGTGAAATGTACCACAATTTTTCCATCATTAACATCCCATATAAAAACTCTGAGGTCATGTTTAGGTTCACTGGTGCCTTTGGATGATAAATAAAATGGCTATATTTGTGTTGGAGATCAAGACCCCTGGTTCCTATGACCACCACTGTGAAGTCTAAATCTTCTGTACAATGAGCCATTTCACATCAAACCACTCTGTATGATTTAGTTTACACTTCAACAACTGAATTATGTAGAAATTTTATTTACACTAAAGAACAATTTCCCTTCAACAAGTTTGCCGCAAAATGTTCAAAGACACCACACACTTTAAAAAGATGCTTTTTCATGGGTTCTTTAGTAAAGGTAATGGTTCTATATAGAACCAGGAGTTAGTTTGCATGCCTAAATGGTTCTTTGCATAACAAAGTGTTCTTCAGACTGGTGGAGAATGTGTTGTATTCTACTGTTACAAGCTTGGCATTTTGAAAGTATAAGAACTCTTTTTGGTGCTGCACTATTAAAAGGATGGTGCTTTAAGGGTTTTTTAGTAAGAAAAATGGTTCTATATAGAACCGTGAACACTCAAAGAACCCTTTGCATGATTAAAGGGTTCTTTGCATCATGAAACGTTCTTCAGATTGATGGAAAATGCGCATGAATGTGCTATAGATGGTTCTGTATACCTTTTTTCAAAAAAGGTTCTTCTATTGTTACAAGCTTGACATCGTAACAATAGAAGAACCCTTTTGGGTGCTATGTAGAACCCTTTTCAAAAACCAACTACAGCACATTTTCTATCAGTCTGCTGAAACATTATCCATACAAGGAACCTTTTAAGCATGGAAATGGTTCTGTAGAGAACTCATGGTTTTAAAAAGAACCATCATTTTTTACTAAAGAACCATTGAACAACCATCCTTTTTAAAAGTGTAGTTAATGTAGTCGATTTTTCTATTGTTGTTGAAAACGTATCATCAGGTTTGTGTTAGCGCTGTTGCTCAGTGACTTTGGTGTCCAAGGCTCTTGCGCTAACAGTTCCCTCCAGAATTGATGTTTAAAGTCCTTCATGCTTTTATACAACACCAAATTTCTTTTTTTTAAAAAGCGAGGAAACTTGAGTTTTCCGTGATGCAGGCCGCTCAAATGACATATATCAGTCTGTGTAAACGTGGCTAAGGCACTACTTTCGTGTAAAACATTCAGTAAGCCTTTCCTGATCGTTGTACAACAGCAAGTGGACAGCAAGAGTAACTTGGCAGACATTTTCTTTCAAGCTGACACTTGATACCGATAGCGCAGGCCTTTAGCTCTAAGCGCTTGTGGCTAACGCTGAACCTCCATCATATTGTCAGCTGTTGATTTGGCATGTTGTTGCTTTCTCAATTGGCTGTTTTTCACTGCCAAAGCCCTTTTGGAAAAACAAGCTGTCAGTACGTTTTGTGCGAGCTGGGCGGATAAGACGCTAACATGCTTGCGGCTTTTCGACCTGTTAGCGCTCAGCCACAGAGGCTTCTTCCTGTCAGCCCTCCAGCCGCTCTCCCCCTCGCCTTATCTCACTTCCTGTCAGCTGATGTTCAGCTTGAGTGACAGTACGGTGGCCCCCGGGGGACGCTAAGGTGCGAAGACGCGGCTAATCCAGACTCCCAACAGACTGCACTAAAACGGAGTAGCGGGAGAGTGCGAGAGAGCGAGAGACATAAATAGAGAGAGAGAGAGACAGAGAGAGAGAAACAAATAGGCTGGTGAAGAGATAAAAGGCCTTTTTCTAGCCCCTCGCACTCATTTGCTAACATAATGAATGCATATCCCTCGATTTTTTCCTCTTGATTTATCATTTCAATTATCTGCTTTTCTCATTCTTTCTTTCTGCGTGTTTTTTTTTTTCTTTTTTCTTGTGGCGGACCGGAGACCTGAAGCAAGCGCTCTATATTCAAAATCCCTAAATTTCAATTTTCCGCCTGAGTATGAGAACGATTTATCATCGTAATCTGGAGTCTGTGCCGCCGCGGCATGCAGGGGGAAAATTAATTTAGATTAAGCGGCGATGTGCGATTATGAAGATTACTGACAGAGAGACAGAGGCGGATCCGTTAGGTGTGGAGTGGAGTCGCACCTTAGCGCCTCAGTCTGATCTCAGAGCGCAGTTTTGTAAGGCTTATGAGGCTCTAGATCAGTTTATAGAGGCAACATCTGCACACCTTCAAAATATAAATGGATATGTTAGGAATTCAGGAGTCCAGTCTGAAAGTAAGAGAGCTAGCATGCTAGTTGCATAAGCGCCAGGCTTTGTTTTTACTTAACTGTTAGGACAAGGTGTCAAACTACGTTCTGTGCCACAGCTCTGCAGAAACTAGGATTTCCCTTGTTGTAATGCTGTGAATTGAACACATGAAGGTCTTGCTGATTAACTAATGAATTTATTAGTGTGTTTTATGAGCAGAATGCTACACTCTGCAGAGCTGTGACCTGGAAGGAACTCAGTTTCACACCCCTGCTTTAGGAAGAGGTTTCTTGGACAAGGATTAGCCTAGTCCGCAAAAAACTGTAAATTTCAATGGTGATGCTGCATCAAAAAGCCTTTTTGTTAAGATTTTAGGATAATCTGGGTCTGTGAAACCAGCCACAGAAACTAGCTATCGCCAGTGCTAACAAAAGCATGTTTTAAGTCTACATTAATTACGTTGCACTAATGGCTTATTAAATCAAGTAGAGAAGTTGTGTTGACAGTGTAGATTTTAAGCAATCCAGACCACATCTGTGTTTGCAAGTCAACAAATACGAGATATTTTATTATGATTTGAATTTGATGAAGTTAATGTTGTCTGCAGAGTCTTCTTGAGCGGAAAGAAAAAACACCCCTCCTTGTTCTGTACATAGAAACTAAGGTGCAGTCTGTTTTGAATTTGTGATGTCAAGAAAACCAACATTTTCACCAACACAAATGAGTACCAGTTATCGCATCATCAGGTTTCAGGTCTAGACTTTGGGTTTGGGTTGTTTCTAAGAAGTGATTTTTTACATTGTAGATTTTTTTCTGTTTTAAGGAACGTACTTATGCACATGGGTGTGAGTTTCATTTTTAGCAGTACTAGTCGAACCTGGTTGGACTCAAGTTTCAAATTTTGCAGTATAAGTCAGGCCTGTTAGGGATTTAGCAGTGTAAGTCAAGCCTGGTAAGGTTCAGGTTTCAAATATAGCTGTACAGGTCGAGCTTGGTCATGTTTGAGTTTCAAACTTAGCAGCCAGACCTGTTTGAGTTCAGATCGGGCCTGGTCGGGTTCGAATGTCAAGTTTAGCAGTACTAGTCGGGCCTGGTCAGGTTCAAATTTCAAATCTAGCCATACTAGTTGGGCCTGGTCTGGTTTGTTTTCAAATTTAGCAGTACTAGTTGGGCCTGGTCTGGTTTGTTTTCAAATTTAGCAGTACTAGTTGGGCCTGGTATGGTTTGTTTTTAAATTTAACAGTACTAGTCGGGCCTGGTCGGTTTAAATTTAAAATTTAGCCATACTAGTTGGGCCTGGTCTGGTTTGTTTTTAAATTTAACAGTACTAGTCGGGCCTGGTTGGGTTCAAGTTTCAAACTTAGCTGTAAAGGTTGGGCCTGGTCTGGTTTGGGTTTCAAATTTAGTAGTGGCAATTGGGCCAGATGCGGCCTCAGGTATGGGCTTCAATTTCATGCTGACCTCTACACAAGACAAGCATAAAGTTACATAGGAGTATTACAGCATTTTTAAGGATGCTTACCTAAATTATGGGCAGTGACGTTTCCTGATTGGCCAGGCGGTTGCTGGACTTTAGTGCGAATGATCCTACAGAAGACAAAGAAGAAACAGACATCATTCGCATGTGTGCGTGAGTGTGGGTGAAGTGGCTGACATGGCAGCACAGCCTCACACTTCCTGCATGGCTGCTCAAGCAAAGCGTTCTCCCCCTCTCTCTCTCTCCCTCTCTCTCTCTCTCTCTCTCTGTCTCTCTCTGTCATTGTACACATGGTGTTAAACCTGTGAGCTGGACTCATGAATATGTGTGGCTTTCTGTTTCATACCCCCTGTTTCTGTCCTTTCTCGCTTCTTCTATCTGTCCACTTCTCTTTCTCTAAAGCTGCTCTGTGCTGCATCCCTCTTTCATCTACATTATACTAAGTACTTGTTTAAAAACAAATATAAAGCGTTCCTTGGAGCGACACTATAGAGGAACCACTTTTTTTGTAAATGAAATAAGTAAATTTAAAGAGGAATTTTTCAAAAGATTTTTCAAAACTTTTACATAATTAAATGGTTGAAATGTAAACAGAGTCAGTCGGAGTGGTTTAGTGTGAGATGCTCCGTTCTAGAGAAACTTACTGAGTGAGAATTCTTCACAGTTGTTGTGATGGGAACCAGACGTCTGAAAAACGTAATGCTTCTAAAAGCTCCCTCACGGACAGTTAATGCATAAAAGGTTATGAACATGTTGCCTGTTTTACTGAGAGAATGTTTTACAGTGGTTTTGAGAAAGTTTGGCCTAAAATTTCTTTACTTTATTTTTCAGGTTGACCCCAATTTATTATTCTCAACATTACATATAAAACCTCCACATGTAGGTTCACTGGTCATTTTGTATAGTAAATGTAATGTATATATCTGTGTTGCAGACATGGTGACCCCTGGTTCCTATCACCACCACTGTAAAGAAAGAGTCAGTAAGTTTCTCTACTATGAACCATTTCATTCAAACCACTCTGAATGAATTTCATCTCAACAACTGAATTATGCAAAAATACACAATTTGTAAAAGTTGTTTACTCATTTAAAGATTTTTTCTACATCCAACCTGAAAGTTAGCTGAGAGAAACCTCTACACACACCTGTTGATTGAGCTGACGCTGGGCACGCTGTCGTTGTCACACACTCTCTCGGCCAGTAGTCGGTCTCGTATCTCCCAGGCAAACATGGTGGGGTTTTGGCGTTTGTAATCGGCGATTTTGTCGACGACTTTGGGTGTAGCAACCTTTGGTTTGGATCCTCCGATCACCCCTGGCCTGATACTGCCCGTTTCATAGTACCTGTCAATCAAAAACCATGCGTGTCAGTCAGGGCGTGGTGGCAGTTCCATCAATTTCGGAACGTTAGAATCGACTGTAATTGATTAGAATAATATTCACTAGAAATATCAGATGATTTTCACACATATAAATCTTTATTGTTTTATTGTATATATTCCACTACTGTGTAAATAGATCTTCCACTTACTTTTGTAAATAATTCTGAATTGTGCCAAAATAATTGAACTGAACTGAATCATGATGAAACTTCATTTTCATGAAATTTCTTGATGAATCATAATCGATAATTTGAATCTTGGGAAACTTTGTAAATTAGTGATGCACTAAATCGTTTCCTAAAGAATCGTAATCAGTTCAGTTGTTGGTGGAGTTGAGATTCATGAGGCACTGAACTGTTTCAAAAATAACCGTAACTGAACTGAATCATCGTAGTCTTTGATTTTATTATGCATTGAATCATTTCTTAATGAATCATAATTGATTTGAATCTTGGTGAACTTTGTAAATTAGTGATGCACTGAATCGTTTCCTAAAGAAATGTTATTGAGTCATTGTAAAAATGTGAGGATTTAAGACTTATTGAATCACTTCCTAAAGAACTCTAGTTGAATCATGATTAAATGTGATTATTTATGATGTGATTATTTATGATGAGTGAAGCATTTCCTGAAGAATTGTACCCAAATCAAGTCCAGGTGAAAGAGATTTCATAAGGCAATTAATTGTTTCCTGAAGAACCTAAATAAAATGAAATTGTGGTAAAATTGCAGGTAAAATTGTTTCATAGTATAATTATAATTCAATCAAAGAATTCACAATGATTTGATATAATAATGATTCTCAAGGAAATGGATTTGCTGGTGATACCGGTAAATAACATGTAATATTTTATATCTATCATATGTATAGAATACATGATACTGTTATTGTTACATATATAATATGTATATGTGTCTGCATATATAAGCATATATATATATATATATATATAAAATATATTTCATGTCATACAAGCATCTATGTCTAGTAATATGTCCCATATGTGTTATATATTTGTATCTAAATGTAAAAACAATTTTATAATCCTAATCAAAAACCTAATCTCTGTCTTTACCTCAGTACCCAAAAATAAACCCCTAGCTCTTTCAATTTTAAAAAAATGAAACATTAAAAAATGAAACAACACACACACACACACACACACACACACACATACACACACACACACACACACTTTGTGATCTTCAGCTCATCTAAAGCACACAGAGATCCCACTGCCCCTCTTCTTCTTACGCAAATAAATAAAATCACATGTGTAATCAAGTTACACAGAAAGTGCGCAGCAGGCATAAACAACACGCATGTAAACAGGGATTAGCAGCCTCATACACAGACCCGCATATAACCGTGAGCACATTACGAAGCCGGGGGTCTCTCCCTGCAGTATAAACATAAAAACAGAGAAGCTTAATAGGCAGCTGTGAAAATCCCCTATTAACGAGAGGGCATGGATATTCATACACTTTATTTACTCCAGCACGCCGCACGCCCGTAACATATTATTAAACATATGTGTGTGTTTTTTTGTTTAGTGCCCGTGAGCCGCAGAGCCAGAGAGGAAATTAACACACACACACACACACACACACAGAGACACGGAGACGGAGCGGTAACGGTTGAGTGAGTTGGACTGGGGGGCTTGAGGGGGTAGAGCAGGAGAGAACAATGGCAAACACATTTTTTGATATAGCTAAAGGCCCACAGCACTAATCCAACACCTTCATCCATTCAAATGCTCCCTCGCTCACCCTCTCTCTCTCTCTTTCTCTCTCTCTCTCTCTCTCTCATGTCTTTTCCTTCTTTCTTTCTTCTTTCTATTCTTTATAAATCATTTCATTCTAAATCACTCTGCCTAAATCTCTCTCACTCACACTAACTCTACCTCTCTCTCTCTCTCTGTCTCTCTGTCTCTCTCTCTCTGTCTCTCTCTGTCTGATGCCTCTCCTTTATTTCATACAATGTTCCTATATATTTTTCTTTCTAGCTCTCTTTTTCTTTTTTTAAGTCCGATGCCTTTTTTCTTTCATCTTCCTACTTTTCTGCTTTCATTCTTTTTTCTCTTTTTCTCTTTTTCTCTTTCTCTTTCTGATGCCCCTTCCTTTCTATCGATGTTCCTACTCTCTCTCTCTCTTACTCTTTTTTTCTCTCATTCTTTTTTCTCATGCCTTTTATTTCTTTCATCTTTCTACTTTTTCTCTTTCTCTTTTATCTTTCCCTCTTTTTTCTCTCTCTTCCTGATGCCTCCTCTTTATTTCTTTCATCTTTCTATTTTCTCTCTCTCTCTTTCTTTTCTCACTTTATCTCCGTTTTTTCTTTGTCTTTTTCTAAAGCCTTTTTTAATTTCTTGCCTATTCTTACTCTTCCTTCTCGCTTTTTTCTTTCTACCTCTTTCTCTCTCTCCGTCTAATGCCTTTTCTTTATTTCTTTCATCTTTCTATTCTCACTCTTCTCTCCCACTCTTTTCCTCACCTTCTCTCTCTGTACCACACTCTCTTTTTTCTTCTTTCGCTTGTCCTCCCTCTCTTGTGTCTTTCCTTCATATTCTTTATAAATCATAAACCACTGTGTCTAAATGTCTCACACTCATTCTCTCTCTCTCTCCTCTCTCTCTCTCTCTCTCTCTCTCTCTCAGCAGATGTATGCCACCGCTTTCATTCTGATGCAAATGCAAAAATGTGATGAATCTTTTCCTTTTGTGACGGAGAAGCGAGAGAAAAGAGGGCTTTGACTCAAGCTTCCATTCGTGAGGAGAGAGACAGAGAGAGAGAGAGAGAGAGAGAGAGAGAGACAGAGAGAGTAAGAGAGAGAGATAGAGTTTTTGAATTTCATACTTAGTCGCCACAGAAAGAGCAGAAAACGCTGACTCAGCCGGCCGAGGAAACATTGTTCCGTCTGCAAATATATGTCAGGACGATTTGGAGGGGGCTCAGTGCGGACCGGGGGGATTATTAAGTTTAATTTGGACTTTTTGTCATAGTTTGAAAAGCATGCTTCTCATTAGTGTGTGGAGTTACAGACAGTGTAACATGGATTTTGACCTTTAACTGCTGTTAGGTGCCTGATTTGTAGTTAAAGTGATGATCAGTGTCAGAAATAGTGAATTCCTGACTAAAGTCATGTTGTGTCTCAATGTGCGTTTTAATGGCACAATGTTAAAAGGCTATTTATGGATTTTACAGGTGCAGTATATGATTTCAATCCAACACACTTTTTGTCAAATTCAGCGAATGTCCCCTTGCGGCCCGCTAGCTGTCCGTTCTGTGTGCGCACTGGAAAAAAAATCCAATGTTTGTACACAGCCCTGGCTCTGTAAATGGGAAACCAGAGACTTTGAGAATTGAGGATGAAGTTGGCTTCCTATTTGCATTTTCCCATTCCACCTTAAATGGTGCTGCAGTTTCATTCTGGCAGCTGATATTTGTTATATGCACAAATACCATGATGTAATGTTTACGAACAACCACACAGCAAGTGATGCAACTAACGTTAAAGCAAACTTCTGACACCAAATATGTCTTTAGAGAAATAGAGAAAACTATGTAAAAATGGCTGAATTATCACTTTAAAGGATGTGAAGTACAGCAACTGACTCTTCTGTACTGTTGAAGAATGTCCTGTTATCCCACTTTGAATCACCACTAGACTTCTTTAGATTTTCTTTAGAGATCAATTTCAAAAGAGCTATAGAACAAATCCAAGGCGTAAATAGGTCCGTCCTTTGTACCTGGTTATTATGCATTAATAGACCTTAACAACTCATGAATAAGCCTTACCTGCCCAATATCTTGCTGACGCAGCCATGGCTGACCCGGAGCTGGCGGGAGATGTCACATGGGCGCACGCCTTGATGGGCCAGCTCCACTATTCTCTGCCTGACCACATCCGGCAAGGGCCGCCCATTCACGAACACCCCCCCTAACTGATTCACCCCTCCATGCCCTGCAGAGACAGAGGGAGAGGCAAGGTGTGGGGTGTGAGAGAGGGAGCAAAAGAAGGATAGTCTTTGATACTGAATAGAAAATGATCATCATCATCAAATCAGCAAAACAAAACACTGCATATTAGTTTAATAGTAATTACTAAACAGTTATATTAGTCATAATAGATACTTAGAGGAGTACTCTAGTTTTTTTCCAACCTGCTGCGTCTACATACGGTTGATTACCATGGACAATAATTGCCCTCAAAAGAACTGAAAAACTTCCCTCTGAAACACACTTATAATGGACGCCAATGGGAGGGGCAGCTGCTTCTGAAGTCATGAGGTTAAAGCTTACAGCAAAAAGGAATGATTATTAACAACTGTTCAGACAGAAGTCAACAAATGGTTACAGCACAGTAAAGAAGAGTTGAAAACTGCCCCAGGGCGGGTTAGAGCTTCTGTCTTATAACTATAACTATAAACGAATCAACAATCTATTTGTGTTTAATTAGAGTTGTAAACTGTAGTTGACAGCATTAATTGATGCCCAACATTTCTTTTGCAACTTGCTTTATACTTTATTCAACAAACTCTGAGACTCCAAAATTTGCTAGCATAACTTCGCTTATCCCCCGACAACCTGAGCTTACAGAGTAAATTCAGTGAACTGAGTAAACGCAAATGAACTGGATAACTGTTATGTATTATGTCCACATTCATTTAACATAATATGGTTACTGATGAAAGTGAAGTAACATCTAGACTGTTTAAGCTGTTACTGTAGGGCCCAGATGGTGAAGAAACAGGCTCAGCAGTAGAGAACACGTTAACGCACACACAAGCCAGGAGCAAGACAACACATAGAGGTTAAGCAAACCTCTGTGCGGGGTGGATGGGTGTGGGGGGGGCACATCCAATATGCAAAGCCATTGGGAAAGTTTTACTCAATAAGGCTGCATTGATCAAACAAACACTTCACAGTATTTTACTGAAACAACAGCCGACTCGGATTCCCTCATTTACTTGCATTTGTTGAGTAACGTCAATGAGGCAGAATGCGGGAGGTGGGGGTGCTGAAGGGGCTGCAACACTCCCAGATTTCGTAAACACTGTTTCAAGCTCGTACCACTTAAGAACAAGTCAGCCAAAAGCAGAATAAGACTGAGGGGTCAGTAAAAGTGGCTAAAAAGTGTGGTAAATCAATACAGTTCTATGTTGTTTACACCAGACAAGCTTTCCAGCCTAAATACATAAAAATACATTCATCAAAATAAATATGAATAAAGGCTGTGTAAAATATGCACAGCTTATTTTTGACGACAGAGTGGAAGAGGAAATATCAGAACAATAAAATCTGAATATATTTTGTTCACGTGACATTTATAGTACAGTTTTGATACATCTGTGAATAAAAGCATCCAGAAAATTGACTTTTCTCGTTCTTTACTGTGGGAGACTCCGTTGTACACTGTATTAAAACTAACACCACAGGGTAGAGGCTGTAGTTTAACCTAGTTAGCTCTCACCGTGAGTTATTTACATGCTTTAAACCGGTGCTATTTTACAGCTACCAGATGAAATAATTAATATTAATATTATCACAGTTTAGTTTGCTATGGGAATATGAGTCATGTCTAAAAGCATGTTCTACTTGAACCTGTTTAACTTCATAAAACATCCATCACACGCTTTACCCCATATTAAGTCTCCCTTACTGTCAGCTCGTGCCTTTGTGAGGCATGAGTGTGTCTGTCTTTGACCTGAAGGTCACAGTAATGCATTCTCCACTTCACCTCGCTCATAATACATGGCCCTAGTGGCCAACCTGTGAATTACACATGACCTACTCACGCTCAGCAGCTTGTGAGTGGCTCGTCCAGCGTGTCGCTGTGTATGCATGTGTCACCATTAAATAAACCCTTCCCTTCTCTTCTCATTCCATTCATGGCTGAGACCTGTATGGTGCTGACCTTCATCTGTTTGGGCCAAACCAAAGCTGCTTTAATTCACAACTTCACAGCCTTCTTTTTTTCCATTTATCCTTCTCCAGCCTTCTTAAAATACTGTTTATACCTGTCTGATAACATTATGTCCATGTAACGGTGTATTAAGATGCTGTATATAGCTCATGCCATCAATCTGAGGCATTATGTTATCAGTGTATCCCTTGTTACATTTACTTCAGTGTGTGCGTGTTAAATACTGCCATGCTGTAATCCAGTTACTCTGTCATATTAACATACTGATTGCTTCGGAAGGGGACTGTGGTGAATGTGCTAATCCAGCCTGCAGGGATAATAGTTCTTAAACACAGCCCTGCAGGTTATATCAAACCAAATACACAACACAAAACGCTTCAGCTCAGTGCCAGTAGAGCATTACTGCTCCTCTGTCCAGCTTCTTCTGGGCCAGTAACAGAATCCTCTTGTCTGGATAACTGTGTGGAATATAACTGCAGTAAACGATTAAACGGGGCTTGAGTGGGTGTGGGGTTTGGGGGTGGGGTGGGGATGAAGGGGATGGTTTCAGCCTCAAAGTCCTTTTGGCTCAGGTCTGTCTTGGTCTTGGGGTAAGGTGATTGCAAATGTCACATGAAGTTTACCTGCCCAATGACATTCCTAGTAGCTGCTTAGCTTAGTTTGATTTACCAAAACCCAAGCTGTTTTGTTTGATGTCTGAAACTTGAGCCTGTGGTCTAAGGATGTGCAAATATGTGCATCACATCATGGACAGCTTTTTGTAGGTATGATATCTGCTGTCAGCACTAAGCTCGTTCAACCAGTGCAGCTAAACAGCCTTGTTTCTAGAAATCTCAATAAGTGTATTAATGCAGGATATCAATTCACTCAACAAGTATAAAAGTACACTTATGTTCACATGTGGGAAGACTAACTTTGTTCTGGTTTGCATGTATAAAATCAATAAGTTGTCATACACAACTGCTGCCTTTTACACTGTGTAAAAATCGTGATGAATGGGTCAATAAAAATGATCCAAAATTACCTGGAATAAAATTGTTTTTTTCCATTAACATCAAGTAAAGAGAGGAAGCCTGCTATTTTGGAGATAAAAGGTTTTTACTGACATTGACAAATGCTGCATTCTCTGTAAGCAGCCATCGCTTGTTTACTTGATCACTTAGGTCCATCATGATCACTTAGGTCCATTTTTTTCTTTGTGATTGTCCCTCCGTCCCTCCATCTTTCTCCCCTTTCTTTACAGCTCTCTACCTCCCTTCTCTTCTTCTGCTTTTGCCTTGCACACATGCTGCTTTCTTCCTAAGTAGCCATCACTCAGTCACTCATGTCTGCTATCACTTTGATTATTTATATTCATCACTTGATCACTTAGGCCCAATCCTTTCTTTAAGCCTCTGTTTCTATCTTTCTCTCTCTCCTTTCTTTCTGTGTCTCCATGCCTCTCTTGTCCACTTCTGCTTCTGTCACGAACAACACTGCATTCTCTCTAAGCAGCCATCACCTGGTCACTTAGGTCCAGCTGATGCTTTTATGTTTGTCACATAGCTTTTTTACATTGAAAGGCCAAAGAAGCTGGACTGATTTTGATGCATATCGTTCATCAGCTCTGAAGCAGAACACCGCAGATTAAAATCTTTCTGTATGCCTCTGGATGAATTACATAACTGCAATATATAACACATATCTCCATCTCTCAACCTCCTCTTGTTCTCTTCTACCTCTGCTTTGCACATGCTACATTTTTTGTAAATAGCCATTGATTTATCCTTTAGGTCCAACCAAAGCTTCGTCATTTAGATCCAAACACTTCTTCTATGTTTGTCTGCAGCTTGTACAGAGTATGTCACTGTAGACTGAAACATCTTGGCACAACTCAAGCTGAAATATATAACCACACACATGTACGATACAGGTGAGTTTGTGTGTGCGTGTGTGTGTGTGCGTGTGTGTGTGTGTGTGTGTGTTTCATGGCTGAATGGTCTACAGTAGCATTTTCCTTCATGACTTTCACTCCGCTCTCCATTAACTCAGCCCTTTCTTTTGGAACTCTCCTTGTCTGGGACCAAAACAGCCAGTGCAGTTAACCTGTGTCAATAAGAAATGCTGACCTTTGGCCTTTGATTCTGTCAGTAATGGCCCTCATACACCATAAAAGATGCTCAAATAGTGCAAAACAATTCCCCTGACTAATCTGCACTGCCCAAAATGGAATTCATTTTTCTGTGTTGTACTTTTTAGTTGGACCCAATCAATATATGTATCGGTTGGCTGATAATATCAGCCGATAATGAGGCCCTGCAGATGTATCAGTATCTGCAAAAATACTGATTAAGCACCGATGTTTAGTTACCTGTTCTACATCGGCAAAATTTGAGTTTAAAGTTAATGTGAATCGCAAACCATAGTGCACCGAGAATCACAAGAGAGACACAGTATCAGAGAGGGCTTCTAGGCTATCATTCACTGATAGGTGGAGGTGTTCGGAGGGGGAGGTGAAAAAAGCATTACATTTTCATAGAACATTATAGGAAAACAAGAATTTTGTCTAGTAAACGATAATTGTTATGCTTGATATAACAAGGGGCATGGACGAACAAGGTCAAAGAGGTCTTTTGTAATTTCAGGTTGAAAAGTGCCAGTGATATCAGTCAGTAACTAAAACTGTAATGGTCTTTTTCTTTTTTGGCCATTTTAAATCATATCAGCCAATATTACTGATTACTGGAGTTTTTAGCTCAGTAAAATGGGTATTGGTGACAAAATGTTCAAAGCTACGTTTTAGGAGGCCTACGACTCAGGCAGCTTTACCCTACATAGAAAAGCTTCAAGGCCGTCTGTGTAAACGGTGTGTGTAAACTCCCTTAATCGTTGTTTAAGGTGTTAAGCCCCATGCTGGAGGGCTTCCGGCAGTGGGCTTTCTCTGATACATAAAGAAAAGGCCCTGGCAGCTAAATAATTTATGAAAACACATATTAAAACAGTAGCTGTAATAGAGGATCACCCTGAGCTAGGCTAAGGCCTAATATTTAAGCCAGGCT